ACACACACACACACACACACACACACACACACACACACACACAGAGAGAGAGAGAGAGAGAGAGAGAGAGAGAGAGAGAGAGAGAGAGAGAGAATCCATTGGTTGGCCAGCAAGTCCTCCCCGCGAACCTGACTCTTGAACCGCTTGGGCACATGCCGAAGAAGCCGTCGGTGTATGTCTGCACCTCCCAGATGAGAGTCTCCTGCCACTGCCGTGTTTGTATTTCCATAGGTTAATTAAACTTAATTTTTCATTACCGTAGCTTGTGTTTGTATCTCCATAGCTTAATTTTGTACTTCCATAGCTTGCGTTTGTATTTCGATAGCCTGTACTTAGTGGAGGCTGCTTGTTGGAGTGTTGTCGTTGTTTTTGAAGCCCCATGCTCGTCTCTACAGCTTTGTAATTGGTGATAGGGGTCTGATATTTGTCTGGCAATTCAGCTGTTGCAATTCAGTTGTTGCAATTCAGCTGTTGCAATTCAGTTGTTGCAGCAAAGTTTAACCAGGAGTGAGATGGTTCATGGTAGTGAGTAGGTGTAGGTCGCGGGCGTCTTGAAGTTGGATGCTCTTCCTCAAGGCAGAGAGTGCAAATCCGACTGTTCTGTTACACAATGTATTAGGGCCTGCTGAAGGGGTTCAGCTTTGATTTTAGCACAGGCCTCAATAAGCTGTAGGGAAGCGAAGAATCGATAGTAGTACTGTAGTAGGAAGTCTGCTGTGTGCTGGTATTTAGATTTGGTTTATATGCACGGAACCTGGTCGTATTTCAGGCCAGATTGATGCATGATGGTTGGATTGTGAATGCTTAGTAGATGCCCCAAGTGTCGTCACCGTGATCGTGACAGGCACCCGCCACTTGGTCACTTGAACATCACTGGCCGGTCATATGGCCCTGCGCCTGTGAATGGCGGCGGTTCACGGTGAACGGGCAGACCATGAAAGAGCCGACTCAGCCGAGTTTTTTTTTTTTTTGGGGGGGGGGAGCCCTCACCCAGCTACAGTCTCCTGGAGCCCCACAGCGTGATGAAAAAAAAAAAATAATAATAAAAATCGAAATAACCTACAAAACAACAAACAAAAATGCTTATTTTATTTTTTTTTCTTTTCTTTTTCTTTTTCTTTTCTTTCTATATTCTGCTCTCAACTTCTGTTTCTTTTACCTTCCACTACCTACTCCTAAGACTATCTAGAGGGGACCCCTGCAAGCATAGTTTCCTCTCTCTGTGAAGGGGAGATTTCATGTTGCCCCTTGCCCCTAATGGTTAGGGTATAAGGTTGGGGCCGCCAGTGGGGGTCTGGCTAACACAAAGACCGAGACCTTCCAGTAGCTGTGCCTCCCTTTCTCATCGTTCCCCACCCTTCATCGAGTAGCAGCAGAGGCTATGGCCAACACTCTCCCACACACCACACACAACCCACTTGCGCTCACACTCACACCGGTGTTGGTCATAGACCCCGCTTATACCGATCAGGGGTATCCAGAGGACTATCACAGTCCGTTGGCAGGTTGCATTTTTTTTTTCGCTTTTAATTAAAAAAAAATAAAAAAAATTATGGGGACTTACCCTCGGATGACCCCCACCCTCCTTTACCCCCCCCCCCAAACTCCATGAACTACCACCAGTCACGATTCTTGTGACCAGTGACAGGCCCTCGTTCACCTACCCCATGAGCCTTGAACGGGGGTACGGCACTGGATGGCAGTGGATGCCCCTGTTCTAGGCTGCCTGGCAGCACACGTCTCTGATTGCCAAGTTGGCAAGGGAGAGACTATCTGTTGAAGCCTTTGCAGTTGTTCTGAGATGGTTGATCATAAATCAGCTACGATTGTGGGAGGGAGAGGGAGACAGTTTTCGTGAGATTCAGGGTGAAACTCACAGATTTACTGGCAGGGTGAAACTTACAGATTTACTGGGAGGGTGAAACTTAGAGATTTACTGGCAGGGTGAAACTTAGAGATTTACTGGCAGGGTGAAACTTACAGATTTACTGGCAGGGTGAAACTTACAGATTTGCTAGCAGCGGTGCCACTTTGAGCAGTGAGAGTGCAAAGAGGGGCGGTGGGAACGCTACGGGTCACATGGTAAGAGGGAGCCTGGGAGGAGGAAACTTGAAGTTGTACCCATTGTGATCGCAATTCGACGAAGATCCAAGGGTGTGTGGTGGGAAACCCGTCATGGCAGCTCAGGCTCTTTACAATATTTTGGTCAGCAAGGATGGGAGGGTAGCCCTGATAGAGATGAGGGATAATTGTTGGCAAGACAATGTAGTTGTCACGCGACTCTGTCTCAGACTGTTTCTAAGGCTTCAATAGTAGATCTGTTGGTCGCCTGGAGTGCATCTTGGTCTTGGAGCTTTTTCTGTGCTGATAAAGTTTTCGGAAATTTAAACACATTCATTGTCATCCACTCACAATAACCAGTAACGTAATTTCACGTCTATTTGGTAGCGGCACTACGGAGGCAGTGTGACTGTGAGTGCTACCGTCAGTGGTGCGAACGCTATTCTCCTATAGACTACAGTTAGAGAAAGAAGTAGGGTACTAAGGGTAGGAAGCAAACTTGAACTGCATGCATGGTGACCTCTGTTCGTTGAACGTTGTTGTTATTGGAGATGTAAGGGTGCCTGGTGGCCCTGGTGGGCAACCGGCCTAGGCGGTTTAGGCTTCCTTGAGCTTACAGATCTGTTTAGGTTAAGTTTGACCAAAATGAGTTTCTCGTTAGTCAAACTTAACCTAGGCCTGAACTGCCGTTAAGTTTGACCAAAAGGAGTTTCTCGTTGGGATGCTGGAGCCCGTTTCCAACAAAAACGAAGTTGGGTAATGGGCCCAGTACATACCGGATAGAATTGTGAGGTCACGGGCCTCGAGTGGAATTTTATTGCATAATAAGAAACTGTTTTTTTTTTTTTTTTTTTTTTTTTAATTTTAAGGAAAGAAACAAAGCAGGCATGATAATTACCGGCTGTCCCCTAGCCGGTATCGCCCACCTGCAGGTCGGGAGCAGCCCCCGCATGTTCTCTCGAGAACACGGTTCTGGCTGCCACGGGGTTCCCCGTATGCCTACAATTAGGAGTACTGGTAGGTAGGTAGTGTGAGGTGAAATTGATAGAAGAATATAGCTTTTAAAAAAAAAAAAAAAAAAAAAGTAGAAGAGGAAATATAATAATAATAATAATAATAATAATAATAAATTGGAAGAGGAGGAGTCCCCTCTAGATAGTCTTAGGAGTAGGTAGTGGAAGGTAAAGAAACAGAAGTTGAGAGAAGAGTATAGAAAAACAACAACAACAACAACAACAACAACAACAACAACAACAAGTCCGGGAGAATGGGCCTCGCTCCACTACACAGCACTGTACAGTCTGTACGTGCATTTGGACGGTCTGTGCACCAGATGCAGTCGGAGGAGTCGAATGCATTTGGTCCAGGAAAAGTCCAAATGCATGTAGACTCTGTAGAGTGTTGTGTAGTGGAGCGAGGCGCAATAAAACCATATCGGAAAGGCAGAAGACCAGCCATAGGGCGTCCCTACACTTTCACGAAACTCTACATGCATTTGGACGTTTCGTGGACCCGATGCATTCAGAATGTTGCACTCGTTGGAATGCATCTGAACGAGAAGTCGATCAAATGCATGCAGAGTGTTGTGCACAAGAGAGCGAGGCCGATAATAATTAGGAGAGGAGTAAACAATAAATTCGGAGCTATGCTTGCAGGGTTCGCTCTTGTGCACAACACTCTACAATGTCTACATGCATTTGATCGACGTCTCGACCAGATGCGTTGCGAGGAGTAGCCAATAAATTCCGAGCTATGCTTGCGAGGCCCCTGTACAGGCGTAGCAGAAGCCTGTACAGGAGTTGCGAGGTGTTTTTTTTTTTTTTTTTTTTTTTTTTTTTAATAAGATTTAAGAAAAAAAGAAAAGCGATAAGGGTTGCAAAAACCAATGGGCAAAAAAAAAAAAAAAAAAAACAATGGGCCTACTCAGTTGGTACACTCGTGAATTGTTGAAATGCAGACCTGACCTCGAGTCCGGATTAACGAAAAGCTTTTTGAGCCTTATTGAACTTATTCCAAGAATATCAATCAGATATCCCATAATGGTTTCGAAAAAAAGAAGCGAGGGAAAAGATCGGGTACATGTCCTCGCCATTAGCAAGTCGAAGATAAAATTGGCATAAGAATTATAATTCAGAAGAAATTCACAATAACATGAAATTACGAACAACAGATTCAACAGAACAAAATGGGAGAGGAACCCTCCAGAGTCCAGAGTCCAGAGTCCAGAGCCATAAAACTTGACGTTGAAAGAACAAGAAGAGAGGGGAAACATCAGTAGAATGTGCTGATCAAGAAACAACCTGTGAAATTGGCATATTAATTATTAAAGGATAAGACAATAAATTCCCTAAAAACGTAATTAAAAGTTTAAAACAACAAAGAGCACGGCGACGTTGCCGGTCTGCAGTTAATGATACCTTGACACCTTGTCTCCATCCACATGCAAGTACCTACACACACATAAAGAGCGTGTAGCGCACACACACACAC